TACGCTGTCGCGCCACCTGCGACTTATAGCTATGTCGTCAATCTGTGACCAGCCCTAGGTTGATGATGGGGGCGCCAAGTGGCGTACTGGCGTCCAGCATGACGAAAGCTGGTGCTGGAGAGGAATAGTTGATGAGCAGCACACAGACTGAGCAGTCTCTCCCCATTGTCTGACCGAACATCATCATATCCATGCGGTCCCTCGAGGTGGCACTCACATGGCAGCAGCCGACCGACACGCGCTTGGAAGTCACCTGCCAAAAAAAGATGTCTGTTTTAGGAGCCCTTAGGAGCAGCTCATGAAGGTTCTGGTAGAACTGGTCTTTGACGGTGTCCGAGATACAGTCAGTGGCCGCATACACAGAGATCACGAAGAGAGCACGCTTTCCAAGTCGAGGTCTGCTAAAGTTCAAAAGCCATGGAGCCTCATCGCACAAAGGCGGCTATTGATCGGAGTCCAAGCAATCAAAGCAGTCTCGGCTCTAGCACTGAGGGCGATTCCAACAGCAGTTTGCCCAGATGCGGCAGACTCGGCGTCACCAGAGAGGTGTATACGGAAGCGGGTGCGTGGGTGGAGCGGTGACACCAGCTGGTAGACCGAGTTAGAGTCCTGGAGTCGTGTTTCATTCAGGCAGCAGATATCAATTCCAAGGGTCTCTAGCGTGCATGCAAGTCCAGCTTGCTGACCGATCTGCAGTAATGTGCGTACGTTGAAGGCTGTAAGTTTGAACTGCATTCCGGGTTGCAGGAGTGAAGGTGGGCGACTTTGGGGCCGGTAGCTTTCTGTTGAGCACTGTGTGGTTGAGTTGGCAGATGTCACAGGAACAGATTCGTCAGTGAAGGTGGGGTTGATCGCCATAGAGGAATCAGGTAAAAATGGGTGTGAATGGTACAAGGGAAGGGTAGGCAAAATGGTGGCGTGTGCTTGTGCAGTTGGCATAGTGACATGAGTGAATAACATGGTAGCAGCAAGAGAGCGGGAGATTGGCTGTGGTTGTAAGTCCATCGTTCGTCAGTGGGCGAGATGCTACTCTGCTGCCCAGGCCGAAGTAGAGGGTTGTCTTAGGGGGCCCCACCCCGAGCCTTTGATTTGGCGCAAGATTCAGGGGAATACTGACCAGTAACTGCTTCAGAATGATCTAGACACAGTACTTCAGTGGTCCATCCAAAATTCACGGCAATTCAATGGGAGTAAATGCAGGGTGCTCTCTATACGACATCAGAGCAACCACTGTTACAGGCTCGGAACGTATGTGTTGCAGCGAGCTGCCACCGAACGTGGTTTGGGCGTACTGGCTCAGCATGACCTGGGTTGTTTCAGGTAATCCGCGAAATCCTCTAAAACTGGTAATCAACATGTGGGCCTGTTACGACGTGTGTTTGGAAAAATAGCTCCGTCTATTTTCCGGCAACTGCTTAGTGCGTGTGTTCGTCCTCATGTCGAGTATGCAATTCAAGCCTGACACCCATGGCTAAAACACGATCTTAGTGCATTGGAGCAGCCCCAACGTCGAGCATCAAAGTACGTTATTGGAATGTACCATCTTCCATACGAGGAGAGGCTGGAACGATTGGGGGTATTCAGCGGACGTTACCGCCACTTACAAGGTGACTTGATAATGGTGTACTTAAGTCTGCACGACCAACATCATATGTGGTGCTCTTAACTGCAACTCAGCAGTAATACCAACTTGACAGGTCACTCACTAAAATTGGCATGGATTGCCGCAGGACGTCTCTTCGGTCCGGGTGCGTCACCCGTAGAATGCTCTTGCAGAATCGGGCATTTCTGCACCATCAGTATCCATAGTTAAAGGATGTTTAGATGACTCACTTACTCACGAACACCTTGGTACCTTGTACTACATCTCCATCTCACTCCTGGAATATAATTTGGATTTATTTGATGTTAGATGTTTGTGCTGTGAAACTACACGGATCGCAGAACTACAGCGAAAGAAACGATAAGTCCCTCTTGTAAACGTAAATAACCCACTGCTTTTTATTTTTCGATAACTCCACAAAACCACCCAACGGGACATGTAAAGCATTGCTTCTTAACGCGTAGAAATTCAGTGTTCATTGTTTAGCTTGAACAGTAATGAGCCACTGGCAACGCAGCTTTAAAATCGAATTTCCGCACGGCAAATTGCAGTCAGGTTACATCCAATTTTTCTACTGGCTGCTTGGAATGCTTAGTCAGGCTTCTCAAATAACAGTTGGAGCCGGCAGTACAGGACGGAGATCGGAGGTCGGTTATTTCATTTGAAGTGTCAATGTCCGTGCCGATAACCCACGCGCCAGGTTGGTGTCGCAAGCTAGTCCACGAGGAACAGTCATGGTGTAGGTAGGACGCTTGCAGGGAGATAAAGGGTAGCCTCCAGAATACAGGTAAGGCCGAACAATAGTACAGGCCACAATAGATATGCATCCGAAGGGCGAAAGATTTTTGACAGACTGCACTGGCGAGGTGAGTGTGGTATCCATGGAATATTGTCGCCATGTAGATGAAGTTTACGAAACACCGGAGAAATAATCCACGACATCGCAAATAAGTAGAACACTCGCATGGATATGAAGATTTATTTCTTGTTGAGGTGATGTCTGGAGGGTGAAAAAGATTTGAATGCAATTTCTCAAACTAGTGGAAGATACAGGTTAAGGGGACGAGGGTCCGAAAAGGCGGACCAGGCTATCGTCGTAAGTCGTGATAAGATGATCCAGGTAAGTTAATTCGACCATGGATATCCGTCCGAAGGACATAAGGCTATCGACAGACCCCACTGGCAAGGTGGGTAAAGTATCCATAGTCTAATGGCGCCATGTAGGTGGAGAATCCGAAGCACAATTCATTCGTATAACCGATGCATCACGTCAAATGAGATGTATCTCGCGAAATTGAGATTATACGCATTTGTTTATCTATTAGAACAACTATATTTCATGGTAATGCCACCGTATAATGTGCACAGAATAACCACTTAGACCGTGTCTCGCATTGCAAAGAAATAAACTATTTATTTATTTAACCAACTAACCTAACCAGAGATTAAATGTGGCAAAAAGATCGATGGGTGGTGAGCATGCATCCATGTAAAGCTGTTATGTGATCTTCGTAAAATAAGACGCGTTATCAAATTAAGAAACGTCACCAGCACTTTTGGTTAAGGTTAAACACTTAACCGCGGTAAATCACTAGTCTGCATTTCGGCACACAGTATTGGAAGAATATACAACCCCCAAACTCCACTTCGGATACGATCCCAGTGGCGGGAGTGGTCGAGGGCCACTATAACGCAAACCGTGGTCTCAAAGCAGATTGCGTATTACAACCTCAACACACGGCTGGTGCTCTAAAACCACCATTTGGGTCCCTTCACTTCCTGCGTGTATCATAAAGGCTGAACGTTTCGAATCGCAGAAGTAAGGATGTCAACGGTAACATGTGTAATGGACGATGTGCTAATTCCATGGTGTGCTTAAAGAACGGAACGCCAATCTCTGCCGTTTCATCCATCATTGCGAGATAAAAGTTAAGATTTAAAACCAATGAACCATAGCGAACGTGATTAAGGTTGTGAACGAATGTGAACCGATTCGAGGGAAGTAAAGGGAAGCCTCCTGAAACCAGCGCGTAGGCGATTAAGCGCACAGTCGACTAGCTGAATCAGCTTTCACCGAAACTCGTGAAAGGCATGAAATCCAGCTGAAGTTTGACTCCAAAACCAGTGAAGTGAAACACCATCATCATCATTCAATGCTTCACACATTAGCTAGGAGTGAGAAACACCTCAGCTTTCGTGTCGCAATACAATTAAACCAGGTGGCAGTTAAGAAAGAAAACAACAACAACAACAAAGCAAAACAGAACGAAACATGCCTTGTTTTGTGCTTTGCGTTAACAGCGAGATTGCGGTTGGGGGGAGCTAAGTTGGAGAGGGTGTGGGGTAAAGAGGCTCACATATGAGATAAGGAGACAGTGAGTACTCTCTCAAAGCCACAAATCACTTCATCACCATTACCGTAGTACTTAAACATCATGATGCTGAGAAATTGTTTGTTGTGCATGTGACGGCAACCAGAGTACGGACTGACTTCTTTGTTTTATGAAATAAAAAGCAGCATGTCGGCCCAAGGAACGTCGTCCTTATGCATGGATGCGGCGAGTCAATACGATCAGACTTCCGAATGGCATGTGTGATTGCTTGATTGTCTACTGGAGAAATCGTTCGTCCTTGAAGAACTAGTTCCCTGGATAGATGTGGGCATGTATTCCACATAATAAAGACGAACGTGTGATTATGTAACTGTCTATGACATCCGGATAAGGCAAAGTAGATAATAAGGTTTCCTGTCTCGGAAGGTCACCGAAAACGCCGATCGAAAGACTGTGGCATTGTTATAGAAATGCATTCTGGTCGAAATGAAAAACAAAGCTGTAAAAGCAGCCAAGTAGAACCGGATGACAATTAGCTGCAGTGGTGCGTTTTTAATCAAGACTTAGCCGCAAGTGATAGTCACTGAATGTGTCCATGAACTTTGATCGTAATATAGTAAGGGCAGTACGGTAAAACAATGGGATATGTTCTGTTCAGACATTGAGTAATCGCGCCAGTGTAATCCCATTTGTTGCCAGGAAGGAGATGTAACAGGCAAAGTGCGGATACCATCGTTTATGGAGTCCATGAAGGAACTTGTAAAACTACTGAATGTCAACGCATTGCTCTATAAAATTTCAGAGACGCTAAGGAACTAAAAATAACAACACATAGCTAACTTTTATCGAAAGGTTTGAGTGAGTTAGGGGAAGGAAAGGTTGGCCAAATCTACCTCAAAAGAAGAACACCATACAAATGTTAGTAAATAAAACCCATCACTAGAAACAATGGAAGGGCAAAGTATATGCTCTGACAGTGTTTTAACAAAAGCAAACTAAGTGTTGATGAGGGATCAATCTACGAGGCGGAATACCCTACAGGATGCCGAAGAGACATCACTCACCCGGATACCGCGCTTCTGAATCAGTTCCGCAATGACTGGGCGATAAAAATTTTCCGTTGCCGTAATGTAAATCTCTAACAATTGGTCCAAATACCCTGGTTTTTCGGAAATCGTGGTCTCCGGAAGACTTGCTGTGCATGAAAAGGGCGAGATCAGTTGATGAAGTGACAGGGATAGGCATGCGTTTAACTGCCAGTGGAATGTTCCATTAAAACCCGGATGTACAAGGAGACAAGAAAGTAACCATTCATCAGATAGAAAATAGGACATGGTAGACGTTGGCGGCACATGAGCATTTGTGATAAGTATCGGATAAGAGTAATTGTCAACTGATGAGATCAGTGTGATTTCGTAGGATGACGGGGTGGCCCGCGTCCTGGCAGGCCGAGTGAAACCGAAGGTGGTGGGGTATTGGCAGTCGTGTGCATTGGCGATAGTCTTTCGTGCAAATGGAGTTCACTGACTATGCACAAACCCACAGAAAGATGTGGAGGGCAGTGAGGCCAAAGTCCCGAGTCAGCACAATGCTCCCCGCACTTAAGCGGTGGGTGGTGATGGTAGAGTAATAGGAGAACGGGAACAGCAAGGGGTAAGTCAAGCGATCAGCATTGCTGTGACACCAATCAATTCATACATGTCCGACAATTATGTCACGCAACTCCGTAGCCAATCAAGTCCACATTTACGACTACCATACGGCGTCCATCCCAACAGACGCTACAGCCCCACGCACTTACCTAGGAGACGAGAACAGTGCGAAATAATTGGCAAAATGGATAATGCCTAGAGTGTTTGGTTGAATAACGTACAATGAGTATACAGGATGACATTATGAAAAGGATACGCGGAAGTAAGCCGATTCGATCGGTTCCAGCTAAAGTCGAATAATAATAATAATAATAATAGTAATAATAATAATGAGTACGTATGTTTCTCTTTATGCGAAAAACTGTGTCTGTAGCGGCACAGATCAATTTGTACAGAACTATGCATGCGCTTGCATGGGTGACATGCATAGGCGGAATATTGGGAAGATGTAGAGATATGAAGGTGAGTTAAATGACTTAAACTCCACAAGAAATGTGTTAGATCGACACGTTCTGGACAGTATCTATATGATAATAGCAAAGATAATAAAGTTAAGTAGACATGAGAAAAAGAATGATGAGCAAAAGTAAGGGGTTAGGCAAAAGCGTCGGAGAAAGACAAGACTGAGGGCGCAAGACCGCGTACAACAATGATACTGATTTCATGACTGCACCCACCTCGGTAGTCGTAACCGTCAGATACAGCTGTTCAGTAAACCCATATTAAAGAAGACGGTAAATTCGTCTTGCAGCGTGCTTTGTCATCATTATTGCAATCTCAACATTATGAACCCTGGGTGGTACCTTCAAACCAGGTGTAGGAGTGGAATAGGCCGTATGGATCATGGAGCTAACCAACCTAGAAGGTTAAAATGCAAAGCAAGACCCAGTGTGGCATTCGACGGCTTGTTATTGAGGTCCAACCAGGAATACTCACCCAGCGATACAATTATGAGAAGCAAGCTGCATAAGCACTATTTGTCAAGACGACCAAGGTTTTGGTGTCCAAAATACGCAGTGACGATCCCTGCGGCGTCGTATGCTCTGGCTTGGGCCAGTTACTAAATGCATCGCGGTTCTCATGGATGAGGGTTTAACAAGAGTCGAACGTGCCTTACTGAATTGTAAAGATCAAATCAGCATTCGAAGTAAGCCGGTACGTCGCACTGATGCTACGTTGTCAAGTGGACACCACCAGTCGCGTGGCAGATAGGAGTACTACGAGAGTAACCGCCCATGAGCATGAGGCCTGTGGACGATAAACCAGACATTAGAATCACTTGCCCCTGGTCCGTGAGAAGTGACATTTTAGTAAATACACTAGCTAGGGTGATAAGCGTGTCCAGACAAATGAGCAGATCAGTCATTTTAAACGTCAGCTGGGTGAAGGTGAGAATCAAAGACAGCAACGCTCTGCCTCAGTCTATCCGAAGTTGGACGCAACAAGAAAGTTCCCTGAACAATCATCAGGAATGAGGAAAGCCAAAAACAAAAGGAATCAATCAGATAAAAGCCGATAAACCGCCTGCATTTATAGCGGTGTTCTAGTGCTCAGTAAAGTGTAAGGCATCAGCAGTGCGCCGGTACGCAGTATCGACGCTTCATTGCGATGCAACCAACACTAGTTGCGCGTGGGTTCCAGATACTGCGAGGGTAGCCCGGTCCCCGACCCAGGATCGAACCCGCGACCTCCGAAATACAAGGCAGCCTTGTGATCCTTAAGGTCAGTGGACGGCTTCAATGAAATGTAAGTATGTGAACTATGCGTTCTCTACTTGAACGTAGGCCAAGCAAGTGTGAACTGGTTCCACTTTTCTAAAGACCAGCTGCTCGAGGCAAGATCACGAAGAAAGGACTTTGTCTGGCATTTGCACTTTATAGAAACAGAGACCACTGTCGATAGTTGTGGGCCTCAAGGTATTCCAGTAATGTTAAACAAACAGCTAGGCTAAAAACTAGTGACTGAAGTTGGGCTTCAGAGAGAACACACTTCAGTTCAGGGCCCTAATCATTCACTTGCTCAGGTCAAAGCACGTTGGTGGTGCCCTGAATCAAACGTAAACGTTTTCGTTGTGCGGCTAGGAAGCACCAGTACAGAGATATTCCTACTTCTGTGAACAATAAAGATAGTTCGCAAATTACTTTACTGACAAGTGACATATCTCTCGTCGTTCATTGAACCAGGGAGAACAGTGGTTACAGATATAATCAGGGTCGCAATTAACGTTTCGCAAATGTGCTGACCTGACCAAGATGTTTCGTTTCCAGTGAGTGGTTGTAGAAAGCACTGGTATGGATAGCTGAACTCTGACGTAGGAGAGAAGTCCGCGTTGCGTCATCCCACATTTCACAAAAGTAACGGACACCTCAATACCGCTGTCTTCTAAACGGGAGGACAGTGCACATCACAGATAAGCATCGGAACCCAGAAATTCTAAGTGAAACAATGGGGTGGGCAGTAATCCACCGAATGCGATGTGATTTCCCAGAGAAATGGCCAAAGGTATGCAGGATGATGAGAATCACGATAAGGAGCAAGTTTACAACCCGGTCCCATGTGATCTTGCAATGCACAGTGATGAGCGTAATTACATAGGGGCTCAAACGATTGTGAGCGATTAAAGAATATTAGAATACCGAAAAATGCAAACGCAAAAATTCGGAGGAGAGATTGCATGTAACATTGGGAATATGCGCTCGGTGGGGACAATCCTAAGTTATACGTACCACAAGAGTCTCTAACGCCGATAACTAGAGACGAGTCGATGACTTGTCCATGCCTTTCGTTTTGTATCAATTGGATTGCGCTGTCCATAAGTCTTTTCTTCAATTGCTCATAAATGCTACTGTTCCACATTTCCAGCATAAGCTACAGAAGGTAAGAAGAAATGTATCGACCATGATCACCTTCCGGACTGAACTTTCCTGCATATGCCTTGGATTGAGATAATTCACTTGATGCTTTCCGTTCACATGCATATCCATGTGAGTGAAAGGAAGAGGAATAAATTCGGCTCGGTCTATGAACTTGTTCCACTGGACAATGTAGTTTTTGAGCAGTGAAGTTTCATCCTGACTCTGGAGTATGGACTAAAGTAGCTTAGACAACAGAAAGCTAAGAGACTCACTTTGCGAACATTTTTAATGTACTCCGATATAGTTTCCGTAAGAGATTCTTTGATTTTAGTCGGCCCCGTGGTTTCGTTCCACATAACTATCGAAAAAACATCACTGCGGAAAGATGGTGGTGAATACGGGCACAGTCAATCGAAAAGTCATACGAAAAAGTGGCTTGCCACACAGCGTGTGGGACGTTCTCCATTTTTAACATTTTGTTCACTACGGCATTGACTCGGGTCCACCGTTGATCGAAGTCGGACTCTGAATTCTTCAAGAGTTGATTATGCATGAAAGAAACATACTTGCATGAACGACATGCCGAAAGAAGGTTACAATGGAGCGTTGTAATGGAGGAGAATGGGTAACTGTGGGGGAGTGGTTGATCCCTTTAAGAAAGGATATAAATGATTAGCAAAGAAGGTCGAAGAAGAAATAAGTTGGTCAGTCACAACCAAAGAAATCATCGATATACCGATACCATGAACGGAGGCTTCGCTGTGACGACAGCAATTCAGTTCAGGTAAACAACTAAGATCCGGGGCCAGTTACCACGATGCATAGATAACAACAGTGAGAAAAACAGTGTGGAATATAAACAGAGAACATAAAAGGGGAAATAATGAAGAGAGTAAAACTCGTCGAGAGGGGTTAGCGACAGTTAGATGGAAGAAAACTAATGAAGGAGCGACGCTCACTCCCTGCGCGCTTACGCCAGATCTGATACAGTTTCCAACACCTAATATTGAGCAAGTCTCTTAGTCAATTTCTTCAGGCTTCCATGCCACGTCATAGACTGGCCACCTGGCAGTATCGCCTAATTTGGTGCAGTCACGGCGTATAATGCACACCGAGGAAGGCAGTCACATGGCATACGGAGGACACAATCTAGCCAACGTAAACAGGTCGAGTTTAACGGATACCCCAGAGATACGAAAGGGTTTTGTGTTAAACACCAACAGCATTGCTCACACATTGCCACCGGATGAGGGCAGTACCCCGCAAACTTCGGTGATCAAACACGGTCAAGCTTTAATGTCTTCAGTGTCAAGTAGCCAAGTACTGGATCCATAAAGTAACGCCAATATAGTCGCAGCATCATACATCCTATGCTTGTGTTATAATCTCACCAGACGCGATTCCGAAACAGGCGCTTTACTGCTCCACAAAACTTCTAGCCCAACCGAAGGAAAAGCAGAACGCCAATGACCTTGACAAACTAACGTGTTCACCGCCGTCAACAAAACACTGTACAACTGCTGTGGACCTTGGCTGTATTTATAGGTCACTTACTGAGCTTCGACTTCTGGAATAGGAAAGCTAACTGCAAGGTTAGTTGTTCCCCATAGTTTCAGCCGATCTTCAGGAGATTGCTATGCACACGCAGAACGTTCGAAATCGATAATAATCGATTAATCGCTGAAATAATGCGTTTCCGGTGGAATTCTTATCTTCTGAAGGACACCTCCAAGTTGAGATTGCGTCCGAGGTACACGACGAAAGCCATGGATTAACTCGCAGTGTTCGGGACTGTGTTCGCTGCCTGTCGGTACATCTGGACTGAAGTGCTCGAGAAGTGGGTTACGACGTCTGTGGTCTGGTTTTCTTGCTCGACTGTGAGCAGTCGTCCATGGGTTTTTTTTGGCAAATTGGAGCTTTCCAACAACAACTCGAAAGAGAAATCAACAGACACTGCTTCTTCTGGCTGGCACATCGTTGGCCGCAGCTGGTTTGCACGCCGGGCCCAGATCTGTGCGCCCACGATCACCTCATACATGACATTGCCGCGCTTGTTTTTGACCGTCTCTGGCGTCCACTCTGCGTGGCCCTCCCGATAGTGGCGCAGCAGCACGGTCTGTCCAATTCTAAACGATCGTTTCTTTACTCAAGGTCGTCGGTTAAAAGCATGTTCCATTCTGCGATTTCTTTCACAAACAGAGGGCTCTGAGCGCGGCCGGATAACGTCGAAAGGCATGCGAAGCTTGCGGTCCATCATAGCCCGTGCTGGAGAAACTCCGTTTGGCGCTTGTGAACTCGGTGTTGATCGATGGAGGAAAAGGAACCGGTCAATCACCTCCGCCATATGTCCCACCTCTTTTGACTTGTGGAGATCTCGCATGAACGTATCGACAAAGCTTTCTGCCTGGCCATTCGAGTGTGGGTGGAACGGCGACGAGCGAATGTGCTGGGCGGCGTATTGCTTGCAGAACTCCGTAAAAGTTGTGGAGGTGAACTGTGTGCCATTATCAGTTACAATTGTCTCTGGACAGCCGAATCTGCTGAAGATTTGGCGCAGTCTTGATAAAGTAGCATTGGTGGTTGTGCTATCCATGAGAAATACTTCAGGCTACTTGTTGTATGAGCCGATTAAGATGAGGAAATTTCGGCCGCTGATCGGTCCTGAGAAGTCGATATGGATGCGGCACCATGGTTTAGTAGCTTTTGACCATGAACGGAGACCCGCCTTTTGTGGCGCTTTCAAGACATTGGCGCACTTTTGGCTGCGTTTAGCCAGTTCTTCTAGCAGTTTGTCTATGAAGGGCACACTTGCTGAAATGGCTAGGAGCCGACCTCAGTGGCGTTCGTGCTGTGAGTTTCTTTGTCCCCACCCCTTATATAAATTTGTATAGTAATTATTTTGATGCATAGTAGCCGGCTGGTAGCTTAGCGGAACGATGCCCATCCGTTACCGGTAGCTCAGCCGGCTTGCTCCAGTTGAATTCTTTTTTTCTCCTTTCTGTGTATTGCGGCACAGTAGCTGAGGTGTTCCCCACCTCTAGCTAACGTGTATGAAAAAAATACAGAGCTGCGGACAAGCGCCTTCATCCTGTTGATCCCAGGATGCCCAGCATGAAACTGCCAAATAACGCGCTTCTAAAGGGCCTTGGGGACGACCACTCTTTTCGAAAATAGTATAGAGTCATTCACAATAGAGAGCGAATGACTCCTCTGGTAGTACTGTTGCAACTCGACAGATGAACATGTACGTGGCCAACTCATTTTGTGAACTGTGTGACTTTCTTGAGTACTGGGTCCCGAAGCGTTTCGGTTCGTACAGCTTCTGCGGTAACTGGCAGATCGTGCAATGCGTCACTCACCAGATAGTTGACGTCAGGTTCGATCTCGACCGAGGCAATGACTGTGTCCTCATGTTCTTGCTGGTGGACATCAATTAGGCGTGACAGTGCATCCGCTTGGCCAATGGAAATTGTCGACTGACAGTGGATCTCGAAATCATACCCCATTAAGGTAACCGCCTAACGTTGTAGCCGGTTGGCTGTGTAGGCCGGGATGTCCTTTTTCGAACCAAAGATAGCCAGCAAGGGCTTTTGATCTGTCAGAAGCTTGAAGTGGCGGCCGTACAGCATTTTGTGGAATTCCTTGACCACGAACACTATGGCAAATGCTTCTTTCTCGATTTGGCTGTAATTCCTCTCGGCCTTCGTAAATGTTCTGGCGGGATGTGCGATTGATTTCGGAGAGCCATCGGAGTACGTGTGTGAAATTACTGAGCCAATCCCATGGCTTGATGCGTCTCTGGCTACGACAATCTCTTTGGAGGGATCAAAACGAGTCAAAAGCAAGTTTGAGGATAGCAATGTCTTGAGTCGTTCGAAGGGATTCTGATGTCCAGTTCCAAATTTGGCCTTTGGCTAGTAGCTCGTTTAGCAAGGCAAGCAGGCGGTGTATCTCAGGCAAGAATGCGCTGTAGTGGCTGATGAGGCCACAAAAGAAACGCAAGGATTGTAGATCTGTTAGTAGAGGCATTTTTCTAATGGCTTCTACGTTTGCCGGATCTGATCGACGTCCATCCTTTTCAAGGAAATTTGGTGATTGATGATTGGTGTGAAAATGTGCATTTGTCCTCACGGATCCAGAAGCCGGTTAAATAGCTCTTCAGGTGTTCGTTACATCACTAGGATATCATCCAGATATGCAGCGGATCCAGAAACACCCGCTAGTATGGTGTCCATCAACTGTTGGAAAATGGCTGGCGCTGTTTTCACACCAAAGGGCAAGCGGTTGTATTGGAATAGCACACAATGGGTGTTGATCGTAAACAACTCCCTCGAGACTTCGTCAACATCCACTTGAAGGTAGGAAACGGACAGATCAAGCCTAGCAAAGCATTTACCACTATTCAGTTTTGCAAAGATAGCTTTCGTTACGGGTACTGGTGGTTGTCCAGCGCGGCGTTAAGTCCAATTGAGAAGTCAGCGTAGACGCGTAGCTTGCCATTTGTCTTCTTCACTGCGACAATAGGTGCGGTCCATGATGACGGCTGTGATGACTCAGGCTCGTTAAAGTCGATTAAGTTCTTGATCAACGGTTGACATGGCTGCATATGGTACCGGTCTTTTAGCCTTGAATACTGGTTCGGCTCCTGATCGCCGACTCAGTGTTGCCTTGAATTTCGTACAATGGCCCAAGCCGTCCTGAAAGATGGAGGCAAATTTTCGCTTCAGCGAACGTGTTATGTCTTCAACGGACTTTGATGACGGGTATGGACTTGCTCGGACTGGATTGCAGATCTGATTCAAAGGAACATCAAGGAGTTGCAACTTTTCAATCCAGTCGGGACCGAGAAGATTCAAATTCGACCGGTCTGAAATGTATCATGTTAGCGACCTTTTCACACCTTTGAATGCAATCTTGCAAGTAAGTTCGCCCACCAATTTTAGAACACCACCGGATGCATTGTGGGCAACTTTGTGAGATTTGACTATCTTTGGCCTCCTTATGGGATTCCATGTGTTCCTGGAAATAATCGTTATGTCGGAAGTCGTGTCGATTTGCAATTTCGTTGGGATCCCATTAATTAAAGCGCGGATAAATCGTCGTCTCGGTTTACACTCACTTTGGAATGTGGCAAGTAGGGACAGAATCTGCGCCATCCTTTTTAGAGTTCCTCTTTCGATAAGACCACTTCACCTTCTTCGGCCGGACTTGACTGTAAAATTCCTAATTATGGCCCCACTTATGGCACCTTTCACAAATATGATGTTTGAACGGGAAAAAGTGTTCGAAATGCCATTCGCCGCATGACCAGCATGCTGTAGGCGGTTTGTTCGTAGAACTCTTGAAATTTACTTCAGTTGACAGTCCTGGTCTTTTTCACGAAGTGCATGGCAGCTGGTGGTGCAACACCGTTCTGTTCGATCAGGGCAGTGTCGTATTTTAGAGTGAGCAGCCGTTCGCATTCGCTTACTAGGGTCTTCTGTGTCCGATCGTGATCCTAATCCAGCTTAGCTAAAAGCCGTGTGCGGATCTCAGCATCACTAAGGAATTGTAGAGCGCTGATGAAAATAAGACATTTAAACTGATCGTCCGTTAAAGAGCGTAGTTTGAAACGCTCACACTCACGATTAACCATGTCTGCTAGGGCCCCAAAGTCGTCCGATTCCCGTTTGACAATTTTCAGGCATTGATAACGAATACTTAACAAGGATACTGAGTCACCAAAAGTTTCCTTCAGCTGGGACACTGCTTCGTCAAACGTCAGATCCTTCAGCTGTTTGAGCAGAACGCGGTCTATGAATCTTGAATTTTCACTTGTTCCGAGATTGCGTAGAAGAAATCGCAGCTTCCAAGAGTCGTCCTGACGAGTAAAGTCTGTTCGGAACATGTCCGCCGAGCGCTTGAATCACGCATCAAATGTGCATCTGGAATCCGCATCGGAATTGAATTCAGTGATTGCGCTCATGAGAAAATCAACAGAACTCACCTGCGTGTCCCGAGTCGCTGCTCCAGTTGACTGCAAACTCAAGCAGCGTGAATTTTTCGATCATTTTTATTAGTGTCTCCATTTGGGATCGCTGTTGGAAGAGCAGTTTTGAAATTGTTCGGCAGAAAAATTCGTCACATTTCCAATTTTCTTCGTCGCCATTTCGGGCTAAACACCAACTGATGGATTTTAGTATTGCTCACACGTTGTTGCCACCGGAGGGGGGCAATAATCCGCAAGCCTCGGTGATCAAACACAGCCTATCTTTGATGTCTTCAGTAGCAACTTGCCAAATGCTGGATCCATACAACAACGCAGCGTCATACACCCTATCCTTGTCTAACAGGCTGATTACCCGCCGTCCCCCTAGATGGCTGAGCCACAATCAGATGAATGAATTGGCGATGTCGAAGAGACATAAATGATTCTTACAGGAACTTCGAAGATGTACGCAATAGCTCTGAGCATTACATAGCACTGATAGAACTGAATTCCAGACAGTGAATGAGTTGACCCGGGTGAAAGCACCGCCTTGGGGTAAAAGAAAGGTAAAGGGTGTATGTACAGTGGGGCGACACACCAATTAAGATAAAAGACGGCAATAGAACTTAAATGGTAGAGCTGTTTGAATCCACGTTCGCAAGATGGCTTGAGTAACACCAAACAAGTGGATGGGGGAAAACTGAAAGAGCAAAGTAAAAAAAATCTATGACAGAGCAGGAAACCCTTACAGCTCATCGAAGTGTAAGTAGGAATAATTTAGCGTGATTACACACTTCGTCCGTAACGAATCCTAAAGCTACGAATTTGTTACCGTGACATTCTAAGCAAACGACGCAAATCGGTCGCTAGTTAGCAATGGATACAGTGAGGGTATCACCAAGAGCGTCATGTACGGAAAAGCAAAACAATGCCAGCTGTGTATGAAAGAAGTGGGTTTTTATGCGCGTTTCGACGGACTAAGGAAATGATGAAGTACAGCGGTGCACAACAGTTGGAAGTATGCACCGTAAAGGAATTAGGCCAAATGTGCCCGTCTGTCCACGACAAACAGGATTTATTGGAATGAGGTGGGTTATACACACAACCGATAAGGAGGTCGACCTGACCTCCGATGGAATGAATCCAAACGGAATCTTATGGGTTGCCAATGGAAATAGCTCGGAACATTGATGCTTGAAAGTGTAGGACTAGTCTATACTAGTCCGAGAGTGTCCTTGCTTTCGTGTGGATACCAGAAAACCAGAAGAACGGACACAACGGATTGTATTCGTGAAAGGCTACAATCAAACGAAAAACGGATGAAGCGACGAGAGCGTACGTCAGTGTGGGAACTCACCGTGCACACAAGTGATGAGCCGGATGTAGGTAAGAATGGCCGGCATTAAAACAAAAACCAACATTGCACAATTGGGTAACAAAAGTGTACATAAGAAATATCTTTTGGGTTGCTACAGAGCTCCCCTCCCAGAAGGCTGAACGAAGAAGCCTTCGAAATCAAAAATGGTCGTGGATCGAAGTTCGTAAAAGGTATTCGTATGCAAAGGAGTATCTGTTCGTGTTCGGAAATAAATGTAGCCGACAATTAGGATCTACTGTGCCGTTCGGTATTTATTATTTATTGATTGCAGGGGAGGGTGCATTTCGACGAGCCGTTAGAGCGGGCTTGTCGGACTACAAAAAACTGGCTAGCCAAGAAAAAGACCGACAGGACCTCAACCATCGCTGCTGCCAAACGGTGCGCTTGGGCGTGGTCTATCCCCTCGCTACAACCTGCCCCGCGCCAAAACGACCATCGTCTCACGAAGAAGCGACACCTGTCCCGCGGGGAAACGACCAGCGTTCGCATCAGGATCCCCGTTGACTGCGCCGATCCTAGAAAACATTAATCGTGTGGGCCAGTCGATCGAAGAGGAAGGTTAGGGTGTGTAGAGACGAGAAAAGAGAAAAAACACGCGCAGAAAACGCCAGAACGAAGGAATGAGCTGCGTGTATAGATTTTTGGTTTTTTGAAAATGTTTTGCAACAGGTATTTCAGACGTTTTCGAGGTTTCTTTTGTCTGCTAAACGTCATTCGACCAAAAACGGGGCAAATGTATACAATATCTACAAAGCTAAACGTATTTACACTGTACATAGTCGGAAAAACGAACGGGCTTACGCAGTTCCCGATCACGGCGATTGGTCGTGGGAGGCGGCGGGCTAGATTCTGGAGGTGTCGGGACGGTTGTTGCTTGTAGACCGAGATAGTGGTCTAGTCGAACTGCACTAGGATGCTGAAAGGTGGTGCGGTGAGTTGTGACGTCGCACGAAGCACTACTAGACGAAGTAGGCGAAGTGGTTTCTTCCATAAAGGCTGGCGTTAGATAGTCAATGGTGACGACTTCGTATCGATCGTTCCGGTAAGTTACCAGCCGGCTACTAGGTAAAAAGAAGATTATTATTTTTTTTACGTTACGTAATGAGAGCGTGGGTGGAGGGGAGGCTAGAAGGGTTGGGTGGAACAAAGAAACTCACAGCACGAACGCCACTGAGGTCGGCTCCTTGCCATGTCAGCAAGTGTATCCAGCCAAACTTGTTCACCGTCTTTTGGACCCCAATCAAGGAACGGAGACGCTCCAATCGAGACCAGTTCCGAAGTGAGGGCCTTCATTCCTCTCGACCAAGTCATCGCTTGGCCACGCCCTCCTCTTCTTCCATCCCACATCCCCGATGAGCAAACAACGCATGTCGTGGAAGCCGGTGGGCTGGCAGGCGCAACACGTGACTCAGCCATCGGAGCCTGATGCGTGAAATGACGGGGCTGAGCGGTTCAGTTCCTTTTTCTGTGCCGTAAACAAGGCGTCGAACACGCTCGTTACTTACGCTGTGTTCGCACCAGATGTGAGCCGAACTGCGAAGGCATCGATGGTCGGAGGTAACTAGCCTCTTCATGTCTGCCGATCTTAGGGGGTCAGGTTTCGCAATCGTACGTTAACGAACGTACCGCTGCATTGTACACTCTACCCTTCAGGGCCACAGTAATGTCGTGCCGTCGCCATAAGTGGCGAAGGTTAGCAAAAGCACTTCGAGCTTTTGCTATACGGTTCGTGATCTCGTCTTCGATCCCCATATTACTCTACAGTGAAAATTCAGTACACATTCTAAAATGTTTATATGAATAAGGGGCACCTGAATCGCTAGACTTTGAAATTGACGATATACACTTCCGTTTGCTTGCACTTCCACCATCCTACGGGACTTGTAAAGCAATCACTTTTTACCTGTAATATATCATTGTTCGTTTAAACTTCGGCACATTTGAGACGGAAAAGGATTGTGGACATCTAAAACATGATCTGATATTCTGGTGATATCAACCAAAACAGACCATTATTTGCGCTACTGACAGAAAGTAACTTAGAGCTGTCCAACCAGCTTGAAAAGACTCCCTTTAGCTCTTGAATATGATAGCAGGTAATTCTTGTCGGTAGATGACGTAACTCATTCGAACACTACCGATTTCGGATGATTTCAGAAAGTCCTGATCTCCTGTGTCTAACTTTAAGCCACTGTTGGTCATCAGTTCATGCGCCAGGGTGTATGGCAGTAGAGTAGAGAACACACAGGTGACAGTCGTTGATATTCTCTGCCAGGTATCCGAGTGGAAGCACGTAGTGCACTGCATTCTGTCAACATAGCACTGTGCAGCCAGCATGATTATTTTACCTGTTGGGCTTACTTCTTAAGGGCTCTGTCTTTTCGGTTAGAGTAAACTACATTGCGCACATTGCACTACCCACAATCGCTGGACCACTGTGCTCCGTGACATTTCAAAAGTGTTGCCTTATTCGACATTACTGAAGCAACCATGATCCTCCTAGACGCCGTATGACTGGTCCACTGTCTTTTCACTGGAACACAGCACTTACTTTCTTTGCTGCAGATTTGCCAGTTTTCACTAAATATGTTTGACATTTTCTTCGGTTAGACTAGTTACAAAGTTGCACATACTGTCCTATGCCAATTTTTAAAGAGTGAAATCTGTGGTACTGTGCGTATTGCGCGAAGTTACCAAGTGTTTTGTATATTATGGAATCGGATGTCAACATCTTGGATGGACTGGAGGCCAAAGAGGAAGATGAGACACTTAAACTGAGCGTCCGTGAGGAATCCTAGTTGAAAACGATTACACTCGCGATTGATGATGCCCACATACTGCTGATGTCATCGGCATCACGTTTGACCAACTGTACGCATTGGAAACGGGTGTTGAACAGTGAGGATTGATCGCCAAATATTTGCATCAACTTTCGGACCGTCTCGGCGAAAGAAAGATCTCTGGAGCTCTTCGAAAGAATGAAGTTAGTATGTCGCTGATGCTCGGCCGTGCTCAGTTTGCGAAGGAGCAGTCGGATCGTCCGCGCATCATCCTAACAAGCCAGGTCAACTTTGAACACTACATCCTACCGTTTATACCAACATACAGTGTTGAGCAGCACACCAGGTTAGTAAAGAAATTCCGAGATGCTGCTAGCAATGTGGTCCATCAATTGAAATCTTCGAACGGAACCTGCTTAAATGAAAAAACTGAACAGCTTATGGGTTAGAACGAACATCAGCTTGATTGTTGGTGCAACATAGATTTTAGCTCAGCGTACTTGTCCATCATCGTTCTCAGCTACGCCGTCGCCAGTTTGTTGTAACGCCCTCGCTTGGATTCACCGTCTCTAGTCGGAACGACAATTCGGCTCTTGTGGACTGTGCCCCGCGCGGACATGTGACCGATCGAATTCGGGTCGACGATGCCCCAGTGTCTGAGTCGGCCAACGGTTCTTCCTCACTGCCCGAGACTAACACGGACACCGCAAGACCACTCGCGACTCTGAGAGAAAAGAAAACAATGACCTTCAGCGAAGGGTTTAGTGCTCAAACGAAGAACAAATGAAGATGGAACGCGGTTTATACAGCCCAGTATTTATAGCACGGGTTTCCTCCTTATCAGGGGGGCGACGTAGTTGTCAATTGGGAATGGTACGAAAGTGGTGATCAGAGTGATGTACATACCACCCAGCAGCATTATCACCGAGAAAATCTCACAATCATCGACCTGACAACAGTGTCTTTTGGGTAGGACAGAGACAAGTGGCCACTGATAACTGACAAATTGGGGAGACCCGAAAGGGCGTTTGGCAATAAGTTCTGTGCAACCATTAGGTCTCCGCAACAGTAACACAACTAGAGCTGTTTGTCAGAAAAGTACCGTTCTAGGCCATGCTGAGCATGCAATGACATTGTTGGTGGGCTGTCATCAACCCTTGTGCTATGCACAGAAGGCCAATACGTCCTTGTTTTTCTTAACGTCGCGAACTTGGACCTAGTTTCAAGAACAGATGTTTGACATCTTCATATCATCTGGAATCTCGGATGCCTTTCTCTTTTTGTTACAGTCACACTGTTACAGAAGGTACAAAACTTGATTTCAAACCAGCCCCCAAGAATTGCCCTTCGTATTGCACAACCAAGCAAGGAACAACTGGATCTCTTGGGGTAAGTTCAACAAGACAATAATTAAAAAGTAATACGAAATTATTTGAGCCGTTGAACACATGGTGTAATTCAGTTAGCCTATGTTCTAGAAGTTACTCCACTCTCGCTGAGATCACTTCCTCATAGGAAGGGCACCTAGCTTTTCCAATGGTTTGTGAGCTTAGTACAGCCGTCTAAATGCACCTGTTTACAGCAACCGTCGCAAAGCCGCAACCGTTACTCAACACCCAATACTGAGGATTTCCGTGCATATTCAAAATCAGTGGGGACGAGACAAATATTGGGAAATTCTCGAGCGTTCTCATGTAAAACAGCCCAGTCCGTTGATAAATGATTTTGTTTGTTTAACGCAGCTAGCTGCTAGGACCGGATTCTCTTGTTTTGCATCACTCTGCAATCAAATTTTAAAACATGCTGACGTCACCGCGTGCTTTATACCGTAAAGCATGACCTCAGCCTTAGGTCCTGAGATTAGACTGTCTGACATGTGTAGCGACTATCAACCTGCGCTTCTCATTATGGACATTGTTGCGTTATATGTCTTCAGCGTCACCATGGCAACTTTCCTTCACATTTCGTGCAGCATCTGTAAAACTTCGGATCCCGGGGGTCATGTGACTTTTCTGCGTTCTCCTCATCTCGTTAGGCATACGAGCCGACTGTGCAAACAGCTTAGAGCGGATGTGCTTAGTTGTTTTTGAGTCTCCTCAGTCAGTCACACCTTGCTAGCATTCCAAACGCAGTTATCCAAAGGCCAAAATTCCGTCACATATTTGCACAGATGAATGCAAACAGTGATTACCAGGAGTCCCCGTCATTCCTGACCTCTGAGCACGTCATTGAGTAGTTCCTTAGTGTGACAAACGTAGGGAGTACTGGGTGGTCTGGTCATATTTTCTGCCATAACTCCAGCATTGTCAACAGCCACAAGCGATGTTCATCAACACGATATTATTTACCCGCTGAACAGCTAAAGATGCAAAAGTAAGCAGCTCGATTACTGTTGATTTTCTCCTTAACTTGGCAGCTGTCTTTCATTTGAAGATAACTTTCAACGGCTTTAGAAACTCATAGATTACAAGGTGTCATTTAAAACCCCAATTGACCTGTTACTTCAGAGAAGCTATGAGTAGATTTAGTAATCTAGTTGGTAGCATGAGTTCGGACAAGTGGTCACATTCCCGGTTCGACCCAGACTGCATAGGCTGGTAGTAGCGTCTGCCGTTCTACCAACTTTGCTCCAACAAGATGGACGTTACTAAGTTAATAAGTAGGGTATAAAGTGAAGGATAATGTGATGCTTTTCTTTGACATAGAGGCACTGTTACGATAGAAACTGTTAATTTCATTTGTCAGTACTTAGCTCTTGGTATTCCTGTACAAGGAGTGCAGAAGCTACTGCTGCTCTGCACCTTTAGCAAAACATTCTTGTTCGACGGAATTTGTTGCCGACAAATAGGTGGAATTGCAATGGGGTACCCTTTAGCACTACTCTTTGCCGATTTCTTCCTCTGGAAAATTGAGCGCGGACCTATCCGGAAACTTACCGCTTCTCTTCATTCCTACCGGCCGTATATAGACGACACGTTCATCATGTGCGACTTACACCTTGATCACCTGCAAATACTGGACCAGTATAAAAGCGCCCATCTCTTGTTAAAATTTACTTATGTGCTAGAAAACAATGGTAAAATCCCGTCTTGGGGTTTTATTGCAGCGGTGAGCTGCTGGGTCGCTTGAGAGAAGAGTCTTTCAGAAGACTACATGGGTTGCCCAGTATACGCACTTTCGTAGTTATGTGTCCACGAAATACAAGCGAAATCTTGCGCGCTATCTGTACCATCGCGCCGCAAAAATCTGCAGCCCAGAAACATTAGACATTGAGACGGGTTTCATTCTCGCTACGCTACAAGCTAATGGGTATCCGGCGACGTTTATTAAAACACATTCTGTTATTTGTGATCACCCTAAAATAATGCCAACTGAAATGATAATAACGTCTTTTCAAGGGAACTATTCCCTACGAGTTACTGAATACAAAACGGTCGCTCTCAGTAAACGAAAACATCCGGCTGCTAGAGTACACATTCTTGCCGAGACCGTCCTGCTCATTACCAAACGGCTTCAAGACAGAATCCCGGCTCGTTCCGAATGCTTTGTACTGTATCAATTCATCTGCACCTATGGTTCAAGCAACCTCAGGCAAACGACCAGGCGTCTGTCCAAGAACAGAGCGGATCACTGTCCTGATGCTCTACAACATGGCACCGTTAAGAATAGCAGTAGCCCTGTCCTTGAGCATCTGATTAGTACTGATTATCAGGTTCCAGCTGAAGACACATTCAAAATAGTCTGCAATGTTTCGGAGCGCATCACCAAAGGACTCAGAAAGCGCTTGTTAGTCACCGCTGAGGCCATTGCAATCAGACTACCTCAGGCGGATTTGCGCGAGCATCGAACCATGGTACAAGCTCTCAGCTTACTCTGGCCGTAACTAGGATTCTGTTCATGTCTGACACTAACCGTGACCAACTGTGAGCTCAGTTTCCCTGTCTAAAGGGGAATAATACACTAATTATAAAAGGTAAAGTAACACTGTGACCTGATTTCCGTTCACCCGTAATAAAGTCTCCTCTCCCGGGTTTCCGGACTGATTGCACAATAAATATCTAAGCCATAATACATAGCCATTAATTCGAAACATCGTATAGCAAGAACCGTAGCACCATTATACCATTACCCAAACTTACTCAAAAACTTTCTTGGCCAAATAACGTCATATCTGACTATTAATTTCGAAGGTTACAGTCCTGTCCACATTTCCTCTTTAACTTCGTCATTGACGAAGTCACGGAAATCGCGTTCACTGGACACGAATTAGAAAATATCAAGCTAATCATGGGTGAACAACTTCTTGACTTGGAGTATGCTGGCGACATTACCCTCATATGTGACAGCTCACAAATATGCCAAGCAACACTAAACTGATTAGCACTGGCTGTCAGCCGTTTCTGGCTTTGTTTTATACCTTCAAAGTCTAAAGCTTTCCTAAAAGACTGTCAATGACTGCCCACTGAGTGACCCTTGGTGGGGAGCAATGGAATAATGGTGGAACTATGGTGTATTGTGAGTAAAAAAAGCAATGCTTAACAAGTCCTGTGGGATGGAAATTATTACGAAGTTCTTCAGAAGTTCAAACAGACAGCTGTATCAGCGGCTGTGAAATCAAAGACGAGGTCTCAAACCGTATAGGAAAAGCTCGAGGTGGTTTTGCTAACCTTCGCCACCTATGGCGCCGGTGCGACACCATTCTCTCCCTGAAGGATCCAGTGTACAATACAGCCGTAGGTTCAAACCCACTGTACGGTTGTGAAACCTGGCCCATTCGATCGTCGGACATAACGTGGCTTGTTACGTCAGACCATCGCTGCCTTCGAAGTGTGGCTCATATCTAGTGGGAACACTGTATGGGCAACGAGCATGTTCGGCGACATGTTTATGGCACAGGAATAGAAAGTGAACCGCTCAGCACCGTTATTTCACGAACCAGGCTGCGATGGCTTGGCTAGTTGTTGTGCATGTTAACACACCGACTCCCGCGACGTGCGTTCTTTGCGCGACCGAGGTGTGGAAGAAAAGGAAGGGAGGTCAACCGACGGCATGGTCAAGAGAAGTGAATGCACTTACTTCGAAGTTGGCCTCGGTTGGTGACTGTTGGCTCCCTGGTTGGGGACCGAAGGAGAATAAACACGTTTGGATGGATACTCTTGTTGAGGTGACTAGGAGCCGGTCTCAATGGTGTTGTATTGTGAGTCTCGTTGTCTCTCACCCTCCCGCTTAGCCTCCCGCTCCAAACACGATCTCATTTATTAGACATAATATAACTCCTTCCTGCGACACCTTAGCCGGCTATTAGCTCTCCGGAACGATGTTCATACGTTACTGGTGACTCAGCTGGCGGGATTGTGTTGCGCAATTTTTTCTTTTCCCATGTATTGCGACAGAATGGCTGAGGTGTGTCCCACCTCTAGGTAACGTGTATAATGATTATAATGAGGTACTCCCGCCACAGTGTCTAGCACGATGGGTGGGAGGTCGCGTTTGGAACATAAATTGGAAGGCATCAATATTTCTTCGTCCGGTTCTGTCACAATCCCATGTGTCAACTTCCACGTGTTTCCGTTTTACCCTAGATGCTTGCCAGAGACCTTGATTGGTTTGACCGCTTACCTACCGTTCATAAGCATGCATCGAGATCTGCTCGCCGCACAGATTTATGGCAACGCAATGACCTCGAAAATCGGATCCATCCCCACGCGTACCGTTCCCCCTCTCGTTGCCATGTTCCCCAATGTCGCGGATTCGCCTTTGCTCATTGAAGCGCTGAGAGTGAGTAATATACTTTCAGAGTGAAGATTTTAGGGTCAGTTGCTTGCTGCTGAGGAGATGCTATTTACCCATTATTGTCATACTCTGTTTTAAAATTGCGTGCCTGTGCACCACATCTTTTCACAATTCATCCATGTGTAAAATGTTCGTCTAGTCACCATAATACCACTGCATGAAGCGTATCAACAAAGTGACAGACTGCAAGTCTACAACATCGATAAACTTGCTTAATCATGTGACTCCCTTGAGGTAGCAACCTCCCGAGTTGCATCCAATCATTTTATAAAAAGTGGGATAGTTGCACATGTCAAGGTTGTTTGCAATAGGGGTTTTCCAGAAATACAATACGCAGACTTACTTGTATTCCTTACAGTTCCCTTTAAAGGTGAAGTCGCGTTCCAATTGTTGAATAGAACAATTTCGACCGCAGTGGCCAAAACATTTCCAGCCGCCAATCTAAAACTACTTGCCGAAACAAGACCATTGATTCTTCAGCGCTTAATGGATAAACTCCCTGTTCGGTCCGAATCGTTTGTCTTATACCAGTTCACCTGCATCTGTGATGCCAGGTATCTTGGACATACAATCAGATGTTTGTGCAAAAGAATCGCTGAACATTGTGATGTGTCATTACGAAAAGGCACCGTAAAATCCATCAACTGTGCCGTTATATAACCTTTGGTTGACACTGGACATCAAATCCAGATGAACCAGTCGTTTCAAGTCATTTATACTATCCCTAAACGCTACCCAAAAACAGCTTAAGAAACATGTGTTGACCATTTTTGAAGCCATTGCAATCAAGGTTCTAAAACCAGAGCTGTGCAAACAGCGCACACCGCTACAAGCTCTGAAATTGACTTGGCCTTGAACTTGACATATGGCCTACCTTGATCACCTGCTTCCTAATGCGACAGTCTGATTGATCAAACCATCGATTTAGTGTCATTGGTTGCCTTCTGTACAAGCCTCTACGAGCTTTCTTCTCTCCAATATTTTGCTTCATAATTGTACACGCCCGATGAGAAGTATCGAAAAGAATATTCTTCGCGCATTTGCTTACTTCAGACATAAAGAGGCTAGCCACGTTCGATCATCGCTGCCGTCACAGTTTAGCTCATATTTGGTGAGAGCACCGCGTGGCTATGGGCGTGTTCGGCGTCACGTATTTGGTGCAGGATGAGCGAGTGAACTGCTCAGCACCATTAAATCACGCAGCAGGCTCCGATGGTTGGGCCACGTGTTGCGCATGCCAGCACACCGAGTTCCGCGACGTGCATCGTTTGTGCGCCGGGGGTGCGGTTGGAGGAGGAGGAGGGAGGGCCAAGTGATGACTTGGTCAAGAGAAATGAAAACCATCATTTCGAAGTTGGCGTCGGTTGGTGCATCCCGACTGCCTGGTTGGGGTCCTAAGGACGGTGAACACGTTTGGTTGGACACACTTGCTGATATGGCTAGGAGCCGGTCCCAATGGCGTTTGTGTTGTGAGTTCCTTTGTCCATCCCCCTCCTGCTTAGCCTCCCCTCCAATCACGATCGCATTCGTTAGGCATAATATAACTGTCTTTTTACGGCACGATAGCCAGCTGTTAGCTCTCCGGAACGATGCCCATTCCTTACAGTGGACTCAACCGGCGTGCCTCTGTTTTTTTTCTTCTTTTGTATTACCGCACAATAGCTTAAGTGTTTTCCACCTGCAGCTACCGTGTATAATGATGATGATGGGGATTTTCTTTAGAGTTTGACACAATAGCTTGCAAGTGAGATAGCAGCTCACGCATCCGGAAAAGCACTGGACGGCTGTTTCGCTCGAGTTGGATTCGTCAGTGGTGCGCAGTCCCCGCCCCCATTCGGGAGCAAGCCTGTGACTACTAGTGGCTTGCGGCGCTAACCAGCCGCTTGCACCAACATGCCATGGGTGACTGCGGCGTGACATCATGACCTACGACCTAGCTGTGATACATCGCGACACATGCTCCAATGCTATGTAAGTTACGAACCTTACAAAGTGCAGGGCTGGGTCATTGACAAATCGCAATAAGGGGAACCGGTTGTCCGGTGCTTTTCCGGATGCATGTTTGCTTATCTGAGTTTGAACATATTACGATGGGCCGTCAACAAACTGGCGTTATTGTCAGAAGATTGAATGACCGTTTCTACTAGTGTAATTATAAACTAATCGTAAATGTATCGCTTACTTTTTGAGGTTTCCTGGAACGATCGTGTCAGCGAATTGGCAACAGAAACCAAGGTAAGAAAGATGGCAATGATTTCGTCTGTTTTGACATTTTCATGTGGACACTAGCTGCGACGGTTACATCCGTTGCATTACACACCTGTAGTACTTATCGAATTTGGGATAATGCAAAGATCCACTAGAAGCTAGTTTCGATATAGAGGGAGAACAACCGAATTGCAATTTCGAATTACGCGGTCAATATTATTCAGTATCATAGCTAATGCAATATGAGAAATGTCAAGTAGCACAATATTTACAATCACTACATCCACCGTAGCTGGAATGCAACTCGAGATTTCCGTAATTCTTTTGTGGCTTATCTTGAAGCTGTCGTGATATTCTCAGTAGACTCGCATCTTCAGTATCTGGAATGGAATCCATAAAAGGTACATTAGTATGGATCTCAGAAGCATTGGAATTTTCTGTCGGCTGACCTGGTTCTCTGAACTGTACCTGGTCCACGTGACGAGTGTGCATAGACAAATCATCCAAGTACACTATCTACACCATACATCTTCCGACATTACTCACAACAATTCCAGAACTGGGTCGGAAATCATTGCTTCTGACATAGGATACCTCGGCAGTGCTCAAACCGTGCATATTAGAAAGTAAGTGGTTGAGATTCGCACATTTTAGCTGGTGTCTCTCCAGTGGTAGAATGAACAAAATTACGATACTGTAGTAAGAAGTTATCAACAAGTCGATCGAGTTTATCAAATGTTGTTGGAGCACATGAAGCAATTGCACGTTTCAAAGTACCAACAAAGTGTTCACCTAATCCATTGGAGCAAGAAAGTCTGGGGGCAGTAAACCGATGACGACAGCCAAGGGTCCGTAACCAATCAGTAACACACGATGCAGTGAAATGTGAACCATTATGACTCACAATAACCACAAGCACATCTTCACGGCTAAACACTTTTTTAGGGCACGAATAGTAACGTTAGTCTTTGGTTTATCCGTCATGAATACTTCAGAATCAATTACTACAAGCACATAATACTTCTGAAGGAATGGACCACAACAATCAATGTGGACACGCTGCCAGGATTCACAGGCCATTGGCCAGGGCGTCCATTTAGATGGCTGACTTCTTACCTTGTGTCGGCAGCCTTCACATTTTGAAGCAATCTGTCGAATATCAGCATCAATCTCAGGCCACCAACACAGATGGTGGGCCATACACTACATCTTTTCAATGCCAAAATGTCCATACTGAAAATCATTCAGGACCGCAGCCCGCAAAGGCGGAGCTATCCCAATACCATCATGACAATGTTATTGCCAAATGAACAATGAACAATGAATTCATACGGGTTAAGAAGCGTTGCTTTACAAGTCCCGTTGGATAGTTGGTGGGGATATCAACATAACAATAATGATACTAAGGATAGTAAAATAGTTAATACTTTAAATACGAAAATAAGGACTTCAGGTTTGCTTCTCTGCAGTCCTGCGATCCACTTAGATTCACAACACCCACAGTTAACAACAAATAATTCCAGGTAACTCCAGGTGTAGGATGGAGACATAGTGTTAAGTAACAAAGTGTAAGTGGATGAGTGCATCGTCCAACCGTCTTTTAAATATTGTTAGTGTCGGTGCAGAGACGACCGATTCTGGGAGAGCATTCCACGGGTGACAGACACGGATGGAAAAGAAATTTCTGCGGCACTCCAGACGACTGTATTGTTCTGCGAGTTTTAATGAGTGGCCCCTCAGGTTTGTATTGCTGCTGAGTTGCAGTAAAGGGCGGCACACATGATGTGGGTCTCGCAGAATCAAGTATGCCATAATCAGGTCGCCTCGTAGTCTGCGATAGCTTCCACTGAACAATCCTAGTCGTCGCAGCCTCTCCTGGTAGGACAGATTGCGCATTCCAATTACGTTCTTAGATGCCCGGCGTTGTGGCTGCTCCAGTGCATTAAGGTCGTGTTTCAGCCATGGATGCCAGGCTTGAATTGCATATTCGACATGGGGGCGAACATACGCACTGAGCATTTGTCGAAATATGGAGCTGTTTATTTGTCCAAACGCCCGCCTCAACAGCCCAACGTGTTGGTTCCCGGTCTTCGAGGCCTTTTCGGATTGCCTGGAGCAACCCAAGTCATCTTGAACCAGGACACCCAAGTCACGTTCGAGAGTTGATTGTTGCAGTACATCCGTTCCGAGTCGGTATGAGTAGCTGCTCTGATGTCGGATGGAAAGCACCTTGCATTTACTGACGTTGAAATGCAATAAGTTTGGATCGACCATTGATACACTGTATCTAAGTCACTTTGGAGCACATGTTGGTCGGCGTTCGCCTGGATCCTGCGCCAGATCTTGATATCGTCGGCAAACATTAGGAAGTTTGAAGCGATTCCTTGTGCAAGGTCATTAATAAACACCAGAAACAAACGTGGACCTAGAACCGAGCCTTGCGGCACACCACACTCCACTTGTATGGGGTCCGATAAAGAGCTCCGAACTCTGACCACTAATTGCCTTTGAAATAGAAAGTTGGCGATCCAGCTTAAAAGAGGGTCGCCGATCCCGTAATGCTGCAGCTTGGATAGTAGTATCCGATGGTCTAGACGATCGAAAGCCTTGGAAAAATCCAGGTAGATCACATCAACACCTTCTCCAGCGTCGGCTGCCTCGGTCCAACTACTGCGTGCAATTAGTAAATTAGTTGTACATGACCGCTGTCGACGGAAACCGTGCTGTTCAGGAGTGATGAGGTTGCAGTTTTCCAGATAGCACACCAGTGCATCGGCAACTATGGATTCCATGACCTTGGAGAGTATAGGAAGAAGGGTTACTGGGCGGTAGTTGGAGGGATCAGTTCTGCTTCCACCTTTGTGAATCGGGCTTATTATTCCAAGCTTCCACATGGCGGGAACTTGGTTCTGGTCTAAGCAGTGCTGAAAAAACTGAGCTAATGATCCTGCCAGTTGGTTTGCTGCTGCTCCCAATGCCTCAGGACGAATGGCGTCGACACCCGGCGAGCTGTGTTTGCGTAGAGAAGTCAGCTTTTGCAATACAGCCTCTGCGGTAAAATTGATGTGGGTTAGTCCTGGTGAGCAGAATACAAAGCTTGGTAGATCGCTTGGTGGCAAGACCCTTTGAAACGTGGGGGCGTATTGCATCTGCAGCGCGTTTGCAGCTTCCATAGACGTTCTTGTTGGGCCATCAGCCGTCTTGAGTGGAGGAAATCCTTGCCTCACCTTTCGTAGGCTATTAACGTGCTTGTACAGCAGTTTGTGGTTAGCACTGAAGGTTTTTGCGATGTTCTGCTGATAGGCGGCTTTGTCTTCTCTTAACAGTTGAGTGCAGTGGTTACGTTGGGCTACGTAGTTGTCCCACGTTTCTGGTGCTGGAGCTTCTCTGTACACTCGCCATGCTGCGTTGCGTACTGTCATCCATTTTCGGGTTCTGCTCCTAACGAAAGAAACGGATTTGCACTTATTGCAAGCTTTTATCTCTGAAGCCTGTGCAATCAGCTGACTGAATGTTTTGACGAACTCGAGCCAGGCGACTTCCGGGGGTTCTTCTTCGAGGAAAGACCATGTTGTGGCGCTGACTAGCTGGGCGAGTCGGTCGTACCTTGTGATGGTTCGCACAGTATCATCGTTATCATTCCGATATTCTGCATAGCAGACGAAGTTGAAACTGATGACTGCGTGATCACTGCGACCCAACGGGCAGTCTAAAACCAACGCATCAATCATATGCTCCTCGTTGGTAAGCACAAGATCCAGCACAGATGGCCTGTTACCAGTTCTGAACCGAGTGGGCAAAGTGATGTGGTTGTAAAGAGGAGCAGTAGTTACTAGATCTTGTAAATCGGTTTTGAATTGTTCGCCGGTTGTGGCAGGGGCTTCTAAACAATGTACGTTGAAATCACCCATGATAAGAATGTGAGTGTACTTTTGTTGTAAACTGCACCTTAAAGCAGCCATTAGGTGGTAGTCGGTTTCGGGTGTTGAGTTAGGGGCGCGGTACACCAGGATAATAAGGCAAGCGTCCCTGCCTTTTAACTGCAACCGGCACCAAAGAGAGTCGGGGAACTGCGAATCTGAATCCTCCACGGCTTCGCACTGTAAGTCGTTTCGGTAGTACAGGATTACCCCTCCTCCTTTTGTGAGCCTATCGTTCCGGATCAGCGACATGCCGGGTAGCGACACTTCAGCGTCCGTCATTCCCGTGTGCAACCATGTCTCGGTGATACCAATGACATCATACGAGCCGGAAGCTTGGCGATCTTTCAGTTCAGCCAGTTTGTTAGAAAGTCCCTGAGCATTTGTATACAAGCAGGCCAGTTTCTCGGTCTCTAGGAGCCCGCAGAGAGGTGAAGCTGTCAAGTGTGGGAGAATGCCGACCGATGGGAGGTCGGCAGTTATTCGTTTTTTTGATGGGTCAATGATACCTCGTTTGCAACTTGATTCGGCCAAGGTGCGTCCCAGCCTTCGTTTAGATCTACGTCAGAGTCAATTAAAGCAGCAGTCAAGTTACACTTCTGTACATTCGTCAGGATGCTTGCTGCTTCAGTTGCTTTAATACTTGAGCTGTGCGAATTGTTTGCGACCTTTAACCGAATTTCGGAAGGAAGATGTTTCCGATTTCTCCGCCATCGATCCAAAACATCCTTTGCTTGTTGCTCTGACTGCACCACAAGTTTTAGGATTCTAGGGCCGCATCCTCTATAATTCGGTGAGAGAGGTATCCTGGTGAGCGATAGTGCCACAACATCATCCAAAGAAAGTGTTTCACGAATGAACCGCCACTGTTCTAAATCGTGCTTTCCGGTCTCTTGAACATGGTTAGAAGGATGTTCTGGCACGCCATGTATGAAGATTGTGTTTAGGCGGTCTTGCTTGCTGTGCCCCTCTTCGGTGTTTCGTTTTGGTTGTCGCGCGCTCCAAGGGACATCAGGATAGATACGTATCGCACAGGATTCGTGTTTTAGCGCGCTTGCGGAGAGCAAAACGTTTTCTACGTCATCACCTAACTGCAAGGGCTGTGGT